ATTTTTTACAATAATAATATAAATTATACATATTATTTATGGGATTTTTATTTAACAATAAAAGAAAACACTAGCATTAAATAACAACAACATTACGAATACATATTGAAATAACATTAGTACATGATAGATCACGGTTCAAAGAAAAACATTTCAATAACTACTGCTTAAATAAAAATACAACATCACACGGTACTAAAATAAAAATACTTCATAAACCCAACAACTGAAAACAAACACGAATACTTAGTAATCTGGCAAGTTGGCACCGCTTCCTCCAAGATCATTGAAAAATTGGCCAAATGCATTAGTCGGATATGGATCCGGTTGGGCTTGTTGAGCTCTTTTCTCCAAGATTCGTGCCTTTTCAGCTTCAATGTATGCTCGAACTCTAGGATCTTCAATGGAACTGACATCTTCAAACAGAATTTTAAAAAATAGTTACTTAGAACTAACTTTTAGCTAACCCCTATGAAGAAGGAAATAAAATGTCTACTTATTTTTATTTTAAATAACATTAAAACTGAAATCATTTTTAGAAATTTAGAAATTTTTATATTCAGTAAATTTGAAATGTTAAGATGGGATTTTATTATATAGTAATAGAATTGCCCAATTTATTTATGAGATAAATATATACAAACTTGCTACGTGTGGTAAGTTGGCATAAATTACAATTTTGACCGCATGAAATAATTTCATCATTGATGTAAGCCTACTCGCATAATTCATCAAATAATAATAATAATAATAATAATAATAATAATGATGGACGGATCCGATCAACGGTTAAAATAACGAGTAATGAAGTACGGGATGGAAAATAAAGAAGAAATCCGGGTTAATTACGATTTTATTAAAAGATCACTGGGTCGGCCTCTTGTACGAGGTCGGCACTTGTGATATACTTACAATTCTTAGAGAAGACTTATTACAATTCTTAGAGAGAGAAAATATGTTGTAGCTTGTTAGTTGAGGATCCAACAACCTCCAAATGAAGAAGATATTTATAGTGCCATTTAATGCCACTATTCCGACTGTTCACCGTCTTGTCGTACAATATTTCTGCAGTCCTGGTCGGCTCTTTTCTGACGGATCATTAAATACGATTTAAGGATCTCCAATCATTACTAGCTAGGCATTTAATACTCACCTGGGCAACATTAAATGTTGTCAGCTCCTTTTGTCGGGCTAGATCCTCTAGGGTGGTAGGTTAGGCCGGCCCGTCCCACCAACAATCATTATCTAGCAAGTGGCAATATTATATTATTTCTATGTCCGGCTCTGGTTCCTGGATCATCCCCTTTCAGACTCTCAGGTCGGCACTCGAAAAATAAACCTTTTTGAGGTCTTGAGGGTTCATTAACCAGCTCGGCACTTTGCGGGGTCGGCACCCCGACACGGTCTGGTAAGTGCCAGTCTCAATAAATATGTGGGACGTCGCCACTACCGACTTTCGTCTTTAGCCAGCTCGGCATTTGCACCAGCTCTTTGCCCGGTCCTAGACCTGGGGCCGGCTCTTCCCGATCTTGACGACCGAACCGGTTATTTTCGGTTGGGTCGATCCGGATGTCAACAAATAATAATAATAATAATAATAATAATAATAATAATAATAATAATAATAATAATAATAATAATAATAATAATAATACATGTCTTGGCTTACAACTAAAAGCATAACCTAAATTCTAAAGAAAGCGGCCATCCAAACAATTGACATATACTTATTCGAGCAGTCGATCATGACATAATTATGAAATAACCAAGTTTCAATTCCTAAAACAGAAACACCATTAATAAAATTATTTAAAAAAAAAAATTAAAAACAAGCATTTTCAGTTGAGTGGTTAAGGCTCACATCTTCAAACCTAAGTCACATTTCATTTATGTATTATGTGAGTGGCCAATTTAGTCATCTTTTTTTAACACTTTACTTAAAAGATAATTCAATATGTTGTGTTATGGTAATAAAGCAATTGAGCACAACAATCCAATTCACTTAATTTCATTCTTTATTTGAAAAATTCAAAAATCTGTAACAATCGAGCCCATGAATTTTTGTAATATTGACTAACAAGATTTTCGATTCCGCTAAATTTCATTTTTAGTACACTGTGTTGATTATTTTCTGAAAAAGGTTTATCATATAGGATGTCGTCAATAATGGTTTACTAAGTTTCCACTTTTAAACAAAACCCGTACAATATAGCCAACATAGTGTACTGAAAATAGCGATCACTTTTAGTACACTATCTTGGTTTTTTTTGTATGAATTTTGATTAAAGTGGTAACTTAGTGGACTATTTTATACGACGCCTTATATGATGGATCTTTTTCGAAAAATGACCGGACCAATTTTTAAAATTCTGCCTATTGTATAAGGATACTACAATATGTGCAATACAATCAAATTTATCACAATAATAACACATTTTCTTAAGTAATCACAATCCAATCACACAAACTATTTTTTTCTTTCTTTTTTCTCCCCACTATTGTTTGGGTATTTTTTTTTTTTT